AGGGCGCCGCCCGGGGCTGGGCCTGGCTCGGCAGGCAGCACCCTGGGAGCGGCCAGCCTACCTGGGAGCGTGGGCAGGCTGCAGGTGAACCGACTGGTCTTGCTCTCTGGCCCGAACCGCTCCTCCAGCTTGCTCTGCAAGGCATAGAACTGGCGGTAGCGGCGGTAGATAAGGTACTTGGATCCCCCTTTTGTCTTCACCTCGATGACAAAAACCTAAGGAGGATAGAGGCCCCAGAGGGCATCGAGGTCAGGAAAAGAAGCCAAAAGACAGAGGGTGGAGGCTCAGAGGGTGGAGGCTCAGAGGGTGGAGGCCCAGAGGTCCTGGAGAGGCAGCAGTTTTTCTGAGCCTCAGTGCCACATTGGTGCTGGATAGTTCTTCACTGGGCTGTCCCCTGGGCTGCGGCAACCCAGGACTCTACCCACTAGATGCCAGTAGCAGCCCTGCCCAAAAAGAGGTAAGAGACCAAAGGTCTTGGGGTCTTGCCAAGTGTCCCCGAGGGGTAAAATGGGTCTTGCTGAGAAGCACTGAGGTAGAAGCCGAGGGATGAAAGTGGGGGTCCAGAGGTCAGAGGGCAAAGGACCAGGGCGGGCTCTTACAAAGTGGCTGGTGAAGCCCCTCTTCTCCTCGATGTCGGCGATGTTGGCTGAGATGGCCACGTCGTCTGGAAGCTGCTCAAAGTCACTGGGAGGCAGAGGGAGGGTGCGATCACCACCCTGAGGTGGCCCAGGCCCGCGGGGCGCGAGGCAGGGTGTACCCCGCGCTCCCCCGCCAGCACCCCTGCCCGTGCCTGGCTGTCACTGCACTGGGCACAGAGTGTAAGGGAGCTGGGGGGACCAGGTGTCACCAGCTGGACGCCGTCTCACAGGTGGCTCTACAGTGAGCTCAGCAAGGGACAGGGCCTCCTCCGTGCCCGGCCCTGCTAGGCCTGGGTCCAGGCAAACAGCCCGGACAGAGGGCTGTGGGGGGAGAGTCCCCCAAAGACACCTGTTAAAGGCTTGGTCCCTCAGCTGGCCCTACTGGGTGCTGTGGACCTAGGATGGGGCCCAGGGGCCTTCCTAGGACAGGAGGGTGGGCGCGCTCCAAGGGGACTGGGGGGCCCTGCGCTCTGGCTCCGCTTGGTTCATGACATGGGTGGTTGGCTGAGCCACGGCTCCTGCTGCCACGTGCTGCCGTCACCAGGGCCCTGGGCAGGGGGGCCACAGCCTGGGAATAGGCCTCCAGACCCGGGAGCCTTTTTGTTCTATAAGCTGAGCCGCCGCGGATCTCATGATAGTACCACGAAGCTGACAAATGCAGACTCCCAGAGAGAGAAGGGCTGATCCTGCCGTGCTCGGGACGTCCACAAAGAGGAGGTGGCCTCTGAGCCAGGTCTAGGCAGTCACACAGGAAGCCACCAAGTGAGCCTGGGGGGAGGGTGTGCCCGGCACTGGGACAGCATGTGCTAAGGCTCTGAGGCGGAGGAGGGGGCCGGGTCGGGTGTGGGCAGAACCTGGTGTCATCTGAGGCTGAAGAGCAGGGGGGTCCCCATGTCGGGCAGGGAACTGCAGCAAGTCCCAGCGAGGAGGTGCAGGGCTTCAGGACCTCACCCAGGCCCCCGTGGAGAGGGTCAGAGGCAGCGCTAGGGGACACCGCGCCCCCGGGAGCTCCTCAAGGGACCAACAGGGAGAGGATTCAGGCCCGAGCCAACAGCAGGGACAGAAGCAGGGGACACAAGGGACAGCACCTGGGCAGACGCTGCTCGCATTCGCTCTGTCCCCTGCTCTTCCTGGCTCATCAGTGTCCCTTTGTTCAGAGTGGCCCTGTGCCCATCCCCAAGGGCAGGATCTGAGCCACGCAGCAGGCTCCCTCCTGTCCCCGGCCCCCCTGCAGCTCAGAGCTGCCATGTGACCCGTCCCGGCCAATGAGAGCTAAGAGATGACCTCGTCCGGGAGCCTCTTGAGAGTGTTGGCTTTCCTGGTCTGGAGGGAAAGCAAGTGTGACATCTGGATCTGCAGCCGCCCCAGGGCATTTGTGAGGCAGAAGCATCTCTGAGTTGCGGATCCTGAGGTCACTGAGCTGAGGACCAGCTGTGGCTCCCTCTGGACTTCTTGTTGTCTGAGCAAACCAACCCCTGGTCACTGTTGAAGCCACGGTCAGTTCCTCTTTCCCTGCAGCCTAACACGTTCCCCGGCTGTGAGTTGTCCCTATTATGACCAGCAGGGTGTGGGCACTGCTGGGGGACAAAGACCAGTGCCAAGAGTGACGCCTTCTGACCGGGAGCGGGAGGAGCAGGGTGCGGGGCTCAGTCAGGGACAGGCTTGTTCTAGAGCCCCATGGAGGCCCCCGGTCAACGCCCAGCAGGAGGCGGGTGCAGGGCTGGAGAACGGCGGGCTCGGCTTCAGGGGCAGAAGTAACAGCCTATGTCACCTCCTATGTCACCTCCTGTGTCTCTGAACCCCGGGGAAGAGCCATCAGTGAGCAGTGACCAGGAAAACGGCCCAGGAGAGGGGACAGGCACACTCAGCCACTGAGTCCTGCCCTTTGTCAACAGACGGAAAAGGAGAAGCCAAACCATGAAGCAGGGAGGGGCTGCCACGCCCGAGGCCCGCAGATGTCCCCGACCGTCCCCAAGAGACCTGGTCCTCCCAGGGTGGGGGGCTGCTTCAGAGCCCAGGAGCTGCCACCAAGAGTGACCGAGGTGCAGATGACCCCCCAGCTCCAGCGCGCCTCTGGCTGCTGGCGACTGTCCCACTGGTCTCCGCCTTGCCCCGAGTCGACACCCCGGGGACAAGCTGCCCCCCACTTCTCCCCAGGGCTGCGAATTTCATCTGCAATAAGACAGAGGTGGGGCCGGAAGGAACTGGAAGGGCAGCTTGGGCAAGACTCCCTCCAGTCCACGTTTCCTGAGTGGGCACCGGGCACAGGGCCCTCCTCCAAGACAGTGTCACCTTTGGCAGACAAGGAAGCTGGTGCACAGAGAGGTTGATTAACCTGCCCAAAGAAGCCAGGATGTGAGCCCCAGCAGGCTGGCTCCCGCGTTTCCTCTCGATCCTTCAGGCCCTCCCAGCAGCTTGCTGTGGGAACACAGGTGACCCCATCCTCTCCCCAGCTGCAGTAATGACCCAGCAAACTGCATGCAGCCTTGACCCCAGGGCTGACACTGGCGCGGCCACATTAAGACACGGCCTCGGTTCCTTGGGCCTCCCAGCTTCCAAGGCAAAACGGGCTCTCGCAGGCTGAGGGTGGTCTGGAGGGCTTCACCAAGGAGCAGCGCCAGGGATCGCAAAGAGGAGTTGGCCAGGGGGCAGCAGGAAAGGCCTTTCAGGACAGGGAGATGGCACGTGCCAAGGCCCAGAGCCACACAAGGCCAGTAGAAGGAACTGGGGGGAAGTGGGCGTGGCTGAGCCCAGAGCCTCGGCAGAAACGGCTGAGTGGCAGGTGCCACTCACCAGGGCCTTCCCGCCTGACTCTCCCTGGGGATGGAGGGGGTGGAGAACAGGTCAAGCAGGCAGATGCAGAGCAGAGGGGTCGAGGCTCAGGTCCAGGCCTGCAAAGATGAAGACCCGATTTCCCCAAGGCCATGGTCCGCGGGGACCTTGGGAAAGGGCCACTGTGTTCTGGCCTCTTGCACATGCTATAAAACAGAGGTGCCCGAGGCTCTTGTGTCTTTGGATGGCCACACGGTCCGTCTGTAAGGAGCCCAGGCTGGAGGCCCTCAGGAGGGCGGGCAGGGACTGCGCTCTCGACGCTTCCTCAGTGTGCAGAACGGCACCAGGCGCTTAGTAGGTGCTCAACACACAGCGGTGACCTCCGTCTGATTTAGCGAGTGCGCGCACAGGTGGGTGACTGTGGCCAGGAGCCTGCTGCGTGGGGACTGGGCACGGGAACCCAGAACCAAGTTGGAAGCCTCCCAGGAGTGGCCACTCCCGCGACGACCCCCACCCAAGTCTTCGGGGCCAGGGGCCGGGGCTCAGTGTGCGGAGGCGCTATTCCTGAAGAGTCCACTTCGGGCCTAAACTGGGGAGGCCGGGGGCTGGCAGGGCCCAGGGTGGCCCCTTGTCCATCTCTGACCTCAGAGTCCAGAGCCTCCCACTGGGTGAAGCTGTCCCCTGTGTGTCCTCTGCCCTGGCCTCAAGCGGAGCCACGCAGGACCCCTTTCAGGAGAGGCACTGCAGGAGCCGGAGGCCAGTGGCCCCCAGGGCCTGGCTGCGTGGCTCCGTGACGTGGTGGGGGATGAGCCGGCCCCCACTGAGGGTCAAGGGCACCTGCATCAGGGACAGAATGGGGACAGGCACACAGCCCCTGATGTCATCTCCTGAAGCAGGAAGTGGCCCGAGTCCCACCAGCTGCAGTTTCCGGAGGGTTCCAGTGTGCGTGTCGCCGTCCCCCCCCCAGAGCTTGTCAGGAAGAGGGGCCGGGCTGGGCAGGCGGCCGGTGTCACCAGGCCCCAGCGCCACCCTCAGTGACCACAGAAGGCCGCAGTGATGGCCCCATCCCCGGCAGCTCCTCCTGATGCCCTCCCCGTCCCCTGCACGTCCCTCTGAGACCTGGACCTTGGAAGTTCCACCCCGGCTTCCCCCCAGCCCCAGCTCCACCACGGCCCCCTCCCCACCGGGCCCCAGTCTGCCTTTCTCTGGGAATCCTTGGGGGTTCACACGAGCACCCGCTCCCCGATGTCACCTGCTGTCCCCTGCCCGGGGACCCCACAGCTGGAAGCTCAGGCAAAGCCTTCAGCAGGTGCTGGCCGAGCGTGGCTCCGGGGCCTGGGACGCCTGCACGTGGAGCCCCAGCCTTGCCCCTCGGCTCCCTGCAGCCCTGAGCGAGTCCCCGTCCCCTGAGGCCTCAGTGCCCAGGGGGTGCAACCTCAGCTTTAGACCAGAGACTCGGGACGTTCCAGCTCAGACTTGCATTCACTGATCCCTCCGCAGCTGGCACTGAGCACTTAGTGCCCGGGTCGCCCCCATCCTAGGGGCCAGGAGCAGCCCAAACAGACCACAATAAATAAATAAATAAATAGTCACAAAGTTTGCTTCCAACGGGAGCCCGCGATGACAACCATCAGTGACATGCCGCCAGTGTGAGCACCAGGCAGAAACAGGGCCAGAGGAGGCAGGGGCAGCTCCCGACGGCTGCCTGGAGGAGGCGGCAGGGCAGCTGAGCCCAGAATTGGGAGGCAGGACGGGGCTAGGACTCCATTTGAGCGGACGATGGGAAAGCCCTCGCTGGCCACGGGGCAGAGGAAAGAGCCCCAGACTAGAAGCCGCCACACGGGTGCCCCAGGCTGCCGCCCACCTGGCCTGTGGCCCCCGTGACAGTTCCCCTCCTGAGCCTCGGTGTCCCGTCCCTGTCTGAGGTCGGTGGTCACACGACACGGTGCAGGTTCCTGGGTTGCAGGTCTGACTCAACCTGGCCTCTCACAGAGGGCCGGCCTTGCTCCCCGAGGAGGCCGCAGGGGACACCCCCACTCACCTCTCCGCCCGCAGCTGCTGGGCCAGGGCCATGGCGGTGGTGCTCGGGGACAGGTGGAGCCGGTCCCTCGGCTGGTCCAGGCTGGGGGCCCTCCTCACTCCCACCTCGGCTGCTGACCTGCCGTCCTGGGAGTCCCCAGGAGCCGCCTCCGGGAGGCCCCACCCGCTGCCCTGGACCCTGGTGGCGCCTCCTCCTCTGGCCTCACTTCCTGTTCCCACTCCCAGCTGCACAGCGATGGGGAAGTCCCCTCCTCGGCGCCAGGCCCGCAGGAGGCCACTGACTTCCTTGGTGCTGGTCGCTGGAGCCAGGCCTGGGCTGGGCATCAGAAAGCCCCGCTCTATCAGAGACGCAGTGCCCCTGCTGGCCTAGCCCCAGGGGCCTGTGACCTGGCCATCACTTGTCACCCTCGGGTCCCTCAAGTCTCACCTCACTCCCTCACTGCCAGGCCTCTGTCCCACGTGTCCCCAGGCCCAGAAGGCGGGTTTCCGCCTGGCCAGTCAATCCTTAGGCTCTGCCCAAATGCCGCCTCCTCCAGGAAGCCTCCCTGGCTCCTCTGCAGGCCTCAGCCTTATGGGGTGGGAAGGGTGGTTTAGGCCCCTTCTTCCCCTTACCCTGGCCCTGTCCTTCCCTCAGCCCGAGATCCCGTGCCCAGCCAGTCCCCTGGGCAGAGCTGCCAGTCTCAGGGACTTCATATCACAAGCCTGAAGGTGCCCTCCCTGCTCAGCCTCTTCAACTGCTCTACCCTGTGCTCAGGAGAAAGGCCACACCTCCACCCTACTGGCCTCAGAACGCCCCAGCCTCCTCCCCCAGCCTCCTCCCCCAGCCTCCGTCTCTGGAGTGCTCAGGAGCTCTGCTCCCCAGGGTCCTGTGTCACTGTCACCTCTTCTGGGAAGCTCTCCTCCTGCCTCCTTGGGTCTCAGCTGGGAGGTCACCCTCTTCCTGAGGCCTCCGCTGACCCGTCACCCCGAGTCAGGCCCCTCTGTGTCGGCTCTCTCCCGTCCCTGCACTCCTGCCGCAGATCACTGGAGACTCTAGGACTCCACGTCTGTGTGCGCAGGGGTGTGAAGAGAGCCCTCCTGGCCAGCTCAGCGCAGGTGCCCGCAGGTGCCCGGCCAGCACCGGCAGGTGAACACGGAGCCTCCACAGCCCCCACACACCTGGCTCTTCAGTCTGCAGGGAGCCCAGGGTGGAGCCAGAGTCTCAGGAGAGGAGCTGCCCCGGGCCTGCACTGTCCCAGGGAGGCCCAGCTCCCCCGCTCCAGCCAAGCCAGAGCCCTGGGCTCCTCCCGAGAGCAGCCGTCCTCCTGGGCTGGGTGACGAGGTTTGGGAACTTTAGACGTACACATCCCAGCTCAAAACCAAGGAGTATGATTTGCAAGTTCTAAGAGAGGGGGCAGTGAGCGGGGCTGGCGGGCCCCAGCCCGTGAGGGTGGATTTGTGTTACGGGGCTGAGGTTTTAGTGCCTGACCTGGGCCAGGTCCAGGCTACAGGTCAAGTCAGAACCAGTGACGGGAGCAGATTCCTCGCTGGCAACTTGCGGTGCCGGGAAAGTGAGGTAGTCTCCCAGGTCATGGGAGGAATCAGGCCACCAGGTCCCTGTCGCAGGTCTGAAGCCTCCACTAGAGTGAGGTCCAGATACAAGCTCCCCACGGGGTGCAGAAATTCTCAGCCAAAATGTGGCATAAAAACAGTTTCAGGGCTGGGGACGCAGCTCAGTGGGTAGAGGGCTGGCCTCGCAGGCCCAAAGCCCTGGTTCCATCCCCGGCACCACACAAAAAACCCCCACCAGTTTCAGGGAGTCACCAAGTCTGCAGGGACTGTCCCCTGAGCTCACAGACCATGCCGCCCATCACGTAAGAATGCCGACCCGAGGAAGGCAGCCCTCAGGCTCCACAGACGGGAGGATTCACCCACAGGAGCCAGGAGTGATGCCGGGGAGGAATCCCGGCCAGGCACCGTCGCAGGCTCCCAGCGCGGAACAAAACAGAACCGCAGTCGCAGACGAGGCTGCGCTCGGACCAAGAGGTGGAAGCACCTGGCCAGGACTGAGCAAGACGGTGTTGGGCAAGAGTTGGTCAAGAAGGACAGGAAATGACAAGACCGCTTCAGAGGAAAGGGGGACCCAGCCCTGGCCTGAGACCGAGTACGTGGTGTGTGTCCCATGGACGGCCGGAAACACATTTGTGTATAAACACACAGGTGTGGGTGGCAAGGGCTGTGTGTGTCCATAAAAGGTCACCTGGCGGTGTGGCAGTGACGTCAGAACAGAGCATCTTTGGATGTGGGTGCCTTAGTGGACGCACGGCGATGGTGGCCGCCCGTGCCTGTGTGACATGTCCTCGGCCAGTCCGTGTGCCTTCTTTGAATCTTTCTTTATTCATGTGCAAACAGACCCACGTACTGGTGCCGGGGAAGAGTGAGTGAGAGGAGTGTGTGGCCCGCGCCTGGACACTGGGAACCTCTACCTGCGTGTGTTTACAGGAGGACCAGCCCTCGCGCTCACATTCCCAGACTGCCCCAGGTCCTGCCTCCTCGTACTCCAGCCCCAGCACCCCCAAACCCCTCCGGGGGGCCTGACTCAGCCACCGGGAGGCCTCCTGTGCAGCCGGGGACGTGGGTGTCCAGGAAGGAGACCGAGCCCGGGGCGGCCAGCCCTGCGCCTCCTCCCTCCTTCCTCTGGCCCTGTCCGAGGTTCTGCTGAATACGGCTGTTTCTCTGGCTCCGCTCACACCGAGCGAGGGCTGCTGCTAATTTTGTGCCCGAGCTCTGATGCAGGGTAATTTGAGGCCAGACACGGTGTCAGCAGCGGGCCGCCATCCTGCTGCCACGGGCTCCCTGGTCTCCTCCACCGTCTGTCTCCACCCTGGGTCTCCTGCAGGGCGAGAGTGACCCCAACAGGAGCCAGACTTTGCACACTGCACAAGCCCATCTGGGTGGGTACCAGGGATGCCTGCTGTGACCTGTCCCAGACGGAGTTCTCACTCTGGGTCACCGCCACTCCCCACAGCCCGAAAGCAAACCAGCAAGCCATTCGGGGGCTGGAGTCATTCATTCAAAGGCCACAGAAGAACCCCCCCAGGCACCCGCCTTCCTGCCAGGTCTCTGCCAGAGCACACCCCAAACCATCAGCGGACGGCGAGGAAAGCCACCAGGTCGCCAGAGGCAGGTGACAGTCCAGTCGCAGCCCGGTGTCCATTTGTGACAGCCTCTCCAGGGAAAGTGTGAACGTGCTCAGACCCCGGCTGGGGGCCCAGAGCCTGAGAGGGGAGCAGATGAGGGGACTGCAGGTGACCCAGCCCTCCTGGACCGTCCTCCCAAGGCTCCGGCACACAGAGAAGAGGGAGCCGGAATTAGGGAGGCGGGGAAAGCTGCCCGGCAGCCAGCAGTCAGGGCCCAGAGTCCCTGCAGCAGGAGCAGGGAGGCCCGGAGCCACTGGCCATGTCAGCTGCTCTCCTGGGGACAGAGGAGAATCCCTGATGACACTGAAGCCAGATTCCTGGGGATCCCTCACACTCCAAGTCCCCGCTCCTGACCCACATGTGTCCTCTGCATAATTTATGGGGGAGCTTCTGGCCTCTTCCCTGAGCCACGAATAGACGTCGCTGGCCGTGGCTGCAGAGGGGGAGGGCGGAGGGGCCCAGCCACGCGGCAAGCTCCCTGAAGGCAGGCCGCCCGCCCTCTCCTGAGCAGCTGTGTCTGGGGCTCACACTCACGGGCTCCTGTGACCCCCTCAGACCATGAGTCTCCCTGCTCATTTCTCTAAATGGAGCTAATACCTGCCTCATAGGATCAGCGTGTTCACCACGTGTGCTCAGCATCTGTTAAGCACCTACTGTGTGCAGGACACCCACTAACGGGCCAGGCTCTGAATGCACCTTGTGATATAAACCGACTTGCAGTGTGTTAAGGCAACTAACGCCGAGTACTCACTACAATGTCAGGCACACAGTAGGGGGACAGTGATTGTAGACATTATGCTAATTTCCTTGCTATGAGCCCGTCCCTCCCCTCTCTATCGCCCCTGCACACCTTGCCCCTCTCTATCATACAACCTATCACATTTGATTTCATTCCTCACCCATCATCCGCTCTCACCCTGCACCCACGTCCTGACATAAGCTGCAGTTAGGGAACCGGCTCAGCAGCGATCAAAATACTGACGGAGAGAGACCACCAGGGGGCGCCGCGACTCAACAGCAGGGCTACCGCTCTTCAGCGCCACCTAGAGGATGAATGTCGTAAGTGCGCTACACGGACCCATCAGTCAAGAGTCTGAGAACCCCAAGATGCCCGGGGCTAAGGATCCGGACTTTCCTCTCTATTGGTGGTAAATATGATAACAGCCAAGATGCCCTGAGAGTTTCCTGTGTCACCATGGGCACCATAAAGTTTCACGGAGGCGTTATGCTTGCGAAGCCCTTGAAACAGCGCCTGGCCCACAGTCCAGCTTGGTACATGCTGACTTTGTTATTTACTCCTCACACCAAGGCCCATAAAATGGGTAGTATTCTTATCTTGGTTCTGGATCTGAGGAAATCGAAGCTCTGTGGGATGCAGAGACTAAACCAAAGACACTTACTCACTGAGTAGCCCAGTAAGATTTAGACCTCTAGTGGGCTAACCTGGCCCTCATCCATCCACTCATTACACAAGCGTTAGCTGAGCACCCATTCTGCAGCCAGGAGAAAGGACATAGAGATAAACCCAGCACACTGGGGCCCTCAAGCAGCTCATACCACTGTCGAGGTGCACAAAGGAACAGACATGACAACACAGGCACATACGCATGGATGTACATGTTTGCTTGCACACATTCACACACATTCATGCGCACTCATATGCAATTACACATGTGCATACATACACACGAAGCCAAGTACAACAGAGGGGGAAACTAAGAGGTACACGCTGAGCACTAGGTTTCCCAGATTCCATCTCCAATGCAAGCCCTGGGGGCTCCCCGTTCACATCTGCACAGGGCCCTAGCAGGTAGGTTCGGTCTGAGATGAAGCACAGGGTGAGAAGGCAGGGGGAAGGCTGGGGCCTAGGGTCTGGTGCCCAACGCCATCATCTGCTGGCACAGAGCTCCAAGGAGTGCAAGGATCTTCACTTGAACTTAACCCTGCGGTTAACCTGAAGGGATATTCGTCAGGGTTGGAGGCTAGGACTTGCTTTCTGGCAGCCGTTGGCCTGATGTGTAACCACACGTAACTGGAATCACAGCACATGGGGGCTTCTCTTTGTGCTATTTCTCTGGGCCCTGTAAGTGTTGGGGGTGAGCAGGCCAAATGCACTTGGAGGCCACAGTGGCTTCTCTGGATTTCATTC